GAGGTATCGTCTTGCTGTTTTCCGGCTGGGTCACCACTCTGCTCTCGGAGGTCATATGGGTCAGAAGAAAACGCTTGACCGTATTCAGGCGGAGTTCTTTTGGCCTGGCATGGGTCAGGAGATATCAAGGTTAGTCCGCTCATGTGATATTTGTCAAAAGACCAGTGACCGCGGACGCGTGAAACCTGCGCCATTGAAACCTATGCCGCTGATCTCCGAACCGTTCGAAAGAGTCGCCGTGGACATCGTGGGACCAATCCACCCGAGAGCAAGCGATGGATGTAAGTACATCCTCACACTCGTGGATTTCAGCACGAGGTGGCCAGAAGCAGTGCCGCTCAGAAATATAGATGCTGTCACCGTCGCCGAAGCCATGGTGGAAATCTTCTGCAGGATCGGTATTCCCAGGCAAGTGTTGAGTGATAGAGGGACACAGTTTACCTCTGCAATGATGGAGGAAGTGCTCAGGCTATTGTCGATTAAGGGACTAAAAACAACTCCATATCATCCGATGTGTAATGGTCTCTGTGAGAGGTTTAATGGGACACTTAAAAAGATGCTCAAGAGGATGGCAGCAGAGCAGCCGAAGGAGTGGCCCCGCTATCTTGCACCACTTCTCTTTGCTTACAGGGAAGTTCCCCAAAGTTCTTTGAAGTTCTCGCCCTTTGAACTCGTTTATGGGAGAACAGTACGAGGACCTCTTCAGATTTTGCGTGAGCTGTGGGACGATAGTGGAGTAGACATCGAAGTCAAGACAACATACACTTACGTCATTGACCTGGCAAATCGTCTTCAGTCTCTACTTGCGATCTGGCTAAGCAAGAGTTGCTGAAAGCTCAGGAGACGCAGAAGGCATACTACGACAGGAAAGCAAAGGTACGTCTGTTCAAGGCTGGTGATAAATGCCTTATCCTCTTACCCACTTCTCATAATAAGTTACTAGCACAGTGGAAGGGCCCTTATGATGTTGTGGATAAAGTGTCTAATCATAATTATTTAATACAAGTGGGAAATCAACAAAAACGATTCCACATAAACATGCTGAAGGAATACTTCACAGCTGATACAGGAGGTGCGTCCTATGTTGAGAGAGTTGTGGCGAAGCAAGACGCAAAGCTTTGCATAACAAGAGAAGGGGCCAACAGTTGGTCTTTGCAACAGCAGCAGTATCTCGAGTATGTTAAAGCCTTCTTTTCGCAGAAAACCTCGAAACTCGGCAGTACTTCCACCACAACGTACATCTGTGCCGCTGCGGTAATTCCAGAAAGCGAGTGTGACGACGGACCCGTCACTGCACAATCGTGGCAGACCGAGACCATCGATAATGTGAAAGTGAGTGACACCTTAAAACCAGAGGAAAGAAAACAGTTAAGATGCTTATTGAACCAATTTAGTTACATATTCTCAGATAGACCAAAGGTTGCAAGGGTTAATTACCATCATATCGAACTAACTAGCTCTAAAGTTGTGAGACAGAAACCTTATCCCATACCTATGAGATTAGTGGACGCAGTAAAGAAAGAGATCGAGGATATGGCAGATGCGGGAATCATTGAAAAATCTACGTCCCCCTTCTGTAGTCCTATAGTGGTAGTGCAGAAAAAAGATGGTAGTGTGCGTATATGTGGAGACTATCGGAAAATAAACACTATTACAAAAACAGATGCAGAACCAATGTGTGACCAAAGAGCTATTTTCTCCAGACTGACTGAATCCAAGTTCTTTAGCAAACTCGATTTAACAAAAGGTTTTTTCCAGATACCTTTACACCCTGAGAGTCGAGAGGTCACAGCTTTTACCAGTCCTGCAGGTCTGTACCAGTTCAGAGTACTTCCGTTCGGACTCTCGAACTCACCAGCTGTATTCAACAGGGTCATGAGACAAGTGTTGCAAGGCGTCAAAGGAGTGGAAGCATTCATTGACGATATTCTGGTTCACTCCTCTACGTTCGAGGAGCATCTGAAGATCCTTGAGGAGGTATTCCAGCGGTTACGGTGTGCAAATATGACTGTCAAGCCAAGTAAGTGTGAAATTGGATTTAAAGAAGTGCAGTATCTTGGCCATACTTTAGGTGAGGGAAGGTGTAGCTGTCAGAACGACAAAATTAAGAAGATTAAAGATGCACCACGACCCACGACTAAGAAACAAGTACGATCTTTCTTGGGGCTGACGGGGTATTACCGTAGCTTTGTGCCTAACTTCGCAGTGTTAGCTCTCCCACTTTTTGACTTGCTTAAGAAACACGCTCCGAATAAGATTCGCTGGGGAGATGAGCAGGAGGATGCTTTCAATTCACTGAAAAAAATGTTGTGTAAGCAGCCCATTCTTCAGTTGCCAAATTTTCAAAAACCTTTTATCCTTCGAACAGATGCTTCACAGGATGGTGTAGGAGCAGTTTTGATGCAGGAAACGGATGGTGAGATCTATCCCGTGGCCTACCACAGCCGCAAGTTAAAGTCCGCCGAGAGGAACTACAGTACGGTCGAGAAGGAACTGCTGG